TCTAAACCATATTCCCTGGCTATTCTCTCTATTCTAGTAAAGATTTCTCTTAATTCTACAGGTCTCCTTATTATTAAGATAACATCATCTGCATATGCTACGCATTGATGCCTGTGATGATATATTGTGCCTCTAGTGTAGATGTTACATTCTCGTAAAATCTTCTCTAAGATCAAATTGAAAATGATAACGGGTCACCTTGTCGCAGACCTCTATCCGAAAGCCGTCCTTCTTACTATTTTTGGTGGAAATTCAAAATATTCTAGTGCTTCATATACTTTATTTCTTTTTATAGTATCATATGCCTGTCTAAAATCAATAAACAGCATGTGTAATGTTAGGTTGAATTCATATGAGCTAGCTAAAATTTGTTCCATTGTAAAAATTTAGTCTATTACCGATCTGTTTGCTCTGAAACCTGCTTGATATTCACCTAGACAATTTTCAACTTTTCTTTTAATTTTATTTCTAATTGATATGGCCAGAATCTTATACACTGTATCTTGTAAAGCTATTCCCCTGTAATTTTTACATTCTGTAAGGTCTCCTTTTTTATGCACTGGACATAAGATTGCTTCTTTCCACTGATTGGGTATTTTTCTTTGATCCACACTTCGTGTATTAACTCAGCGATTTCTTTTTGTACCATTTCGCCACCTTCTTTTAGAAACTCAGCAATGATACCATTTTCACCAGGTACTTTGTTGTTTTTTAAGTTCTTTATGATCTCTATAATTTCTTCCTTGGTATGTACTTCTTCATTTACATCTGGGTCCCTTACTTCTTCATGTTGTAGTTGCGTTTGTTCTCTTTCATCCTGGTCGTCAGTACATATGTTCCCGACATAATTGGCCCACCTTCTTAATTTTTCATCTGTTCCACCTAACAGATTCCCCTCTTCATCTTTATAATATCTTGATGTGGTTTTGTACTGGGTTCGCTTTCGTTTTATTTCTTGGTAGAAATTCCTGACTTGTTTATGTAAAAAATCTTCTTCAATACGAACTAGTTTCTGCTCTAAACTTGACCGCTTCTTCCTTCTACAGATCTTCTTTGCTTCCCGTCTTTTTGCGGCATAAGCTTTTTTACTCTCTTCATTATTTCTTATTATGCTATTTATTCTAGCTTTATTTCGGTCACTAATGGCTTTCTTACAATCTTCATCATACCAATCCGTTTGTTTACATTGTCTGTTTCTTGATAATACTGAGTCGGCTGCTTCTTGAATTTTTTCTTTTTGAAGGAAGTTCATAAAAGCCAAAATATTTAACCTTCACATTGGAATCAATATTATTTATATATTTTTATGATAATCAATGTGTGCTACAGAGATATTTACTTTATAAAATGGTTAGTAGACAACTAAAACGAGTATACAAGCATAATGCATTAAGTAGAGTTATCTCCCTAATTTCTGACCACTGACCATTTTTAATACTTTTCTAATTTTAATAGTTGTCAATCTTATGAATTCCAGTACAATAATTAAATATTGAACAAATAAAGAAGTGTTCTCAATTAAAAAAGCTTCTGATCTGATCTGTTTGCAGAATATACATACAGTGTGGAAACCACTTATGGAATAAAATTGTTTGTGTCCTTATTATAGAAAATAATAAAAAACTCTGGGACACGTTAACTTTTAAATTTAAATATGCGCATTTTAAACATACATATAAATGTACAGGGTGATCCACGCAAGTCTGGCATAGTCCATAATCCATATTTTTAATGAAACACCCTGTATATTTATGTTTTTAAAAGAGTCTTAACAACCTGATTTCAACGAACTATATCATGTACGGTCTAAAATGAATAATACAAGGTGAAATTTTGAAATTAATAATTTATCACGTGTTATGGTACTATTTTAAATTAGCTAAATACAGATAATACACTTCGACTCTAAGTGTCAGTATATAGGGAAAAATTTCTGTTTAGTAACCGTGTTAACATTTTTTGCCATGAATAGGTAAAAACTGTCTAGAGAGTCTGCTAATTAAACTAAATCGGTAAATAATGCGGATTGTTATCAATCAGTTGTTGGTGTGTTGACATTTTACATTGAAATAATAAATTTTTAATTAAAAGCTAATTTCTTGCAGAAATAAAAATAAAATACTTATCTGAGACCTACCGAATTGAGATTTTAATGATGATCGGTTAAGGGGAGAATTGTAGAAGTTAAGTTGAAGTAGCAAACTATTTAATCAGAGGTATCCTCAGTTGCCTAATATTTCACAAGGTAGGTACTGTGTCTAAAATGTATGCATAATTCAGATAATTTGGACATGACAAAACATTAAAAAGAAAACCGAACTTCATTGAAGATGAGGTGAAAGTGAATATTTTGTTAAGTGTCAAAGAGAATCCAACGTCAAGTTCACGTCAAATTGCACGTCAAAATAATGTGTCACACAATTGTCCTAAGGTGTCTCCATGAAGAAAAACTTCATCAATGGATTTCTGCGAAAGAATGATGGATAAAATTAACACAAATGAAATAGTTCTTGGCACACTGTTTTTTTCTAATGAATCAACATTTACATTGAACGGAGAGGTAATCCGACAAAACTGTAGATATTGCTCAGCGGAGAATTCTCATTGGATGCGTGAGAGACATACTCAGTATCCTCAAAAGTTGAATGTTTAGGCAGGTATTATAGGGGAGAGACCTTATTTCGAAAAAAATTGCAGAAAATTTTCTTTATTAAGCTGTTCTATTACAAATTTTTCATTGAAAAACACAAAAGTGTACAGTCCTTTTTGTGTTTTTTCAATGCTAAATTTTTCAAAGCTTAATAAGAAAATTTTCTGTAATTTTTTACCAAATGAAATCTCTTCTATTTATAGTAGTAATACTTGATCATATCTTTATCTTTTACACACTTCAAAAATACTTTCCTTTTTCAATTCGTTGATTCTCATTTTTGATTTAAATAATCCGCATGAATTTTGTCTTTTTAATATTGAGCTACAATCCCCTCACTATATTCTGACATTTTGTCCATATTATTTAAGTTTTTGGTAATTATTACTGTATCGTCTGCGTATCGAATATTGTTAATCAGTAATCGGTTGACTTTATTGCTGGCCGTTTTATTGTCCAAAGGTTTTTTCATAATTTTCAATTTCAATTTTCAAATTAAAAGAATGTTCAAAGGCAAATGTGAAATAAAAAAATCAATTTTCTATAACTTAACTATCATTTTCTCCAAGAACGTAGACAACTAATTGCATGACCTTAGCTGTATCTACTCTTGCTCTGGTAATAACTCATTTCATTGACTTTCAATTAAATTATTTAGTTATGAAGTTTTTTTCTGCATCGGCCAAGTATGTGTTCCATTAAATTACTTTTCAACACTTTTTTAGTGTTTTTGGCCATTCTTTTTATGATTTCTTGGTTCTCTTCGTTTCTATTTGTTAGTGTCACTCCCAAGTAATTGAATTGGCTAATAACTGAGTCCAATAACATGTCCAAATAAGAATTTGGACATGTCAAAACATTAAAAAGAAAACCGAACTTCATTGAAGATGAGGTGAAAGTGAATATTTTGTTAAGTGTCACAGAGAATCCAACGTCAAGTTCACGTCAAATTGCACGTCAAAATAATGTGTCACACAATTGTCCTAAGGTGTCTCCATGAAGAAAAACTTCATCAATGGATTTCTGCGAAAGAATGATGGATAAAATTAACACAAATGAAATAGATCTTGGCACAATGTTTTTTTCTAATGAATCAACATTTACATTGAACGGAGAGGTAATCCGACAAAACTGTAGATATTGCTCAGCGGAAAATTCTCATTGAATGCGTGAGAGACATACTCAGTATCCTCAAAAGTTGAATGGTTAGGCAGGTATTATAGGGGATCATATTATTGGTCCTATATTTGTAGATGGTAATTTGACTGCGGAAAATATTTAAGCATGCTAAGAGACGATGTTATCAGGAATAAACAGAGATACGGCTTGTTGCAACCCATTCTTCAGGGCAAGGTATTTGGAAAGAGAGGACCAGGGAGAAGAATATCTTGGCTTCAAAACCTGAGAAAGTGGTTTAATACATCGACAACCGGACTATTCAGAATAGCAGCAAGCAAAGTTAGGATAGCCATTTTGATCGCCAACATCCGGAACGGATAGGCACCGTAAGAAGAAGAAGAAGAAGAAGAAGAGACGATGTTCTTCCTCAGTTGGCTAACTTATATCCCAATCCAATAGATTCGAACCTACTGCATGAAACTGTAGGACGCTGCAACACCCCATTATGCTTTAATGGTGAAATCTTTAATAAATGGATTGGACGAAGGGGTACTATTGAGTGGCCAGATAGGTCGCCAGATCTTACGCCTTTGGATTTTTTTATGTGGGGTTATCTCAAGAACAAAGTATATGCAACATAACCAACTAGCATAGAAGATCTCGAAGAAAGGATAACTACAGAAATACGGAATATTTCACCTCAAACTTTAAACAAAGTTCAAGACGAGTTTTATAGGAGACTGTGTTATTACCAACAACAAGGTGGAGCACATTTTGAGCATTTATTTTACTGTAATCCAATCAATTACCTCGGGTATGCTATGAATTAATTGTCTTGGAGAAAATTATACTTAATTTCAAAATTTCACCTTGTATTATTTATAATAGACTCTACATGATATAGTTCGTTGAGATCATGTTGTTAAGGAGGTTTTAAAAACAAAACAATATAGAGGGTGTTTCATTTAAAATACAGATTATGGACTATGCCAGAGTTACGTGGATTACCCTGTACATTCAAATACATGTTGAAAAAGCGCACATTTAAATTTAAAAGTTAAGGTATCTCAACGTTTTTTATTATTTTCTATAATAAGGACATAAACAATTTTATTCCATAAGTGGTTTCCACACTGTATATACATATTATACCACTACAATTAAGATATTTTTGTCGTAACTTACTGCAACAGACTAATTGTGGCCGCTCTAAAGAATTTAACTAACTCACCATCCGGATCTAACATCCTTGGAATGTCGAGATACTTCTCGGCAACATCGAAGGCAGTGTTAAGGTTTTCTAGAGGATTATCTTTAGACAGTTTGTTGTAATCGATGAGATCGGGTCTGTGACGATGGATAAGAGCGCAGAACGCCAAACCGTCTTTGAATGACAGGTGGAAGTTTTGTACATTGACGTTTTTGTATGGGGCAGTCTTTCGTTGGCACCATAACAGTAGACCCTCTTTGGCGGTCATTTCTTCGACGGAGATATCCTGAATGGCGAAACGGAGAATGATAGTCCAAATCATACCAAGTGTCATTTTCAAGTTGCCGTCAACAATTTCTGAAAAAAAAAATTTATTTTTATTACTTGAGGAATGGTTCAAAAGAGTACAGAGCCAAAAATCAACAAAAAACGTAAATATGCAAGAGACATCAATAGTGCAGACCGCAGTAAGCCTTGAATGATTATAAAAATCTTGGGCGAATAAAAAAGGAAACATTCAGGCAAAGTGGATTACAAAAAACGCCTAAAACGAGATAGTTAACCGTCATATTAGACAATAGCTATGTTCTAACATTCTATAAATAACTAAGTGTAGAAAATAATAAAAACCTAGAATAGCGATTATAAAAATCTTAATCTAATAAAAGACTAGGACGACACATAAAGTTGAGACGCATTTTGTCCGGGACGATAACTACTAGCGCCACCTAGGAAAGAACTTCTGAACTGCCAACTGACATTTGAACCAACCTATTGAGTCTTAATCAATCATATTTTGTTCTTAAAACGATACGCTTGATTTATTGCTAATTTATTCTTCAAGTTAATAATGCAAATATACTTACTCGGAAATTTTACTACTTCATTTAATTACTACTTCAATTATTTTTTTCTAAAAATTACCAAAAATATTGGTTACTGCCATTTTAAGGAAATATTTATTAAGAAAAATAAATCAAAAGCTTTATGTTACCCTACTTGGTTTACATGCAAAAAGTTTATTATTTTAAAAATTTAATTTTTAATTCTTTTAAAAATTTGTTAATCCTAAAATTTTGGCTGTGAATATGGTGAGACCTAAGAAATGATACCGATGAAAAACGAAAGGAAGCTAGGACTGCTCAAAGAAGGAAAGTTAGAGCTCAGCAAATTGAAGAACAACGAGCTCAGGAAGCAGAATCTAAGCGGCGACGTCGCGAGGAAGATAGTTCTGAAGCTAGATTAAGTAGGCTGCTGCGAGAATCCGCGTCAGAGAGGGCACTAAGATGATTGGAAGATGACGTTGAAAGGCAAGGTAAAAAGAAAGACTAGAGACTAGACCGAGATTCACTACTTCGGCAGGCACGCCAATGTCACGAAACTCCAGAGAAAGCGGCCAGTAGAAGCGAGGGTGATTTTGTGCGAATTTGTTGACATCGAAATCTGGAGTCTGAAGAAGAACGATAAGCAAGGTTGGTACAAGAAGTCGTACTTCGACAATCTCGGCAAAGTGTGCAAACTCTTGAAGAAGCCGCCAGTAGAAACGACCATGATTACGAGTAGCAATGTCTTCATCGAGCTCAGGAGACCGTCAAGATCGTCATAGATTGGCCCGAAAGGCACAGATGCGAGAAGAGCAATCGCAACGAGAGACACTTGAACAGCGACAAGAACGACAACGACAACAACAGAAAAAATTGGTGGAGTGACAGTGTAGATGGCAATAGTAGATAAATAAAAAAATAAGTAACAAAGAGCAGATATTGAGATGGCAAATCAGTGGAAAAAAACTACTAATTGGCAATAATTGAAACCAATAGAGTTTTCTAGAATGGAAATCAATGTAAACGCTTGAGAGCTTCTTCCGACCGAAGAAGAAATTCAAGAAACCATTTAGAAATTTAAAACTACAGCCCTGGTTCTTTCTGTCGATTTTTTTTTAAAACGTTAGGGAACACTTTTGAAACATTTGCAAGTTAATATCTCAAATCTGGCAAAGGAAAGAAATACCTGAGGACTAGAAAGTAAGTATACTGTAGGTACTTCACAAAAAGGAAGACACCATAATGTGTGATAACTGTGTGTGATAAAGACAGGACAAGATTTTCGCGTTCTGGGTTATGAAGACGATCAGTTATCTACACCTAATAACTAGATTTTGTTTGAAAGAATAACTTTCGGTAAATCCTAATGAAACGGCACTTGTTTAATTTTTATTCACAAATTAAAGCAAGAAGTATGTTCTCTGAACTTGTCGTAGGCTTAATAGTATCTAACAGTAGTCAGTGGAACGCACAAAAAACAACACAGCAAAAAGCTAATCGTGTTACAAAAAGTATAAACACTCGCTTTCGTACAAATGATGCGTTCAATGAGATGGTGTCCCATTGAAACTGTAGAGATAATGCTAATGTTAGACCTTCTACCTCTATGTAAACATGTATAGAAAACCATTCTAGAAAGTAACTTTAATATAAGACCGGCTCAGTATCACAAAATATCTGGAGATTTGAAAAGTTGGAACAGCGCTATTAATGAAGATGTCCACAGACATTATGGCAGCAATTCGAAGATTATTTCAAGCAGAATTACGAGCAATCGATTATTGTGCTCACGAATGACTAAAAAACAACTCAATTCTCCCAAAACATTAATTATCTCTGAGAGCCAAGATGCACTAAAGGCTCTGAAGTTTACAATTTGTGAGTCCTGAACAATGGGAAACTGTAAACGATCTCTTGAGAAATTGACTAAACACAGAAGTACTTTTATGATGCGGTCACAACATAGAGGATTTGTTGATAACGAGATTGTTGATATATATATATATATATATATATATTATATATATATTATATATATATATATCCCTACTGGATCCCTACCAGACGGGCGTAACGCCTAAAAAAACCGGATATATATATATATATATATATATATATATATATATATATATATATATATATATATATATATATATATATATCCGGTTTTTTAGGCGTTACGCCCGTCCGGTAGGGATCTATGGAGGAGTATCACCGAGCCGCAAGCCCTTATCTCTTGCCGTACTGCTCCACCATAGGCCGATCAGATCCCAGCATATTCAAGTCTAAGCCGCAGATTCATCTAGAATTTTAAACTGCTGATTGTTGATACTTTTGCTAAACTGTACTCTTTCATTCGTACTGCTCGCTATGCAAAAATACTCAAAAAACTGAAGTCAGAGTAATTACAGATGTTCACACTGGAGACTAATAAGGTTCGTTAAGATGTCGTACAAACTTAATATTCGTCAAGGTATTTATCGTTTAGTTAGACATGTACCAAAACGCGATATTGTAAGAATTTTTAACGCTCAAAATATGTGATAACGATTTACCAGAAAATTAAAGAATGCGAAAATGGTATACTATGCTTTAATTTGTCCAAAAGTGTAAGACCAAGAGTTTTACTCCTGCTCGGGAACAGAGAATAATTCAGAGTATGGAGAACCAATTTCATCTTTGCGAAATGTTGGCCGAAGATATAATGTTTCACGAATGACCATAAGTAGAACAATTTCTAGAAATAATTAAAAACGATATACAAGAAAAAAAGCTGCTAAGTACACATCAGCGCAATTAGAAAAAAAAAATCGACTTAGAAATAGTTCATAAGCTTATTGCAGATGCAAGACCAAATTTACGTGCCATCGAAGATCACGAACCTCTTTCTGTTCTACAAGAATACATTATAAACCTTAAATGTGTAGACTTAATTTCCTGTATTTAGTTAATAAAATAAACTTAATTTACAATAATTAGAAAATACATATTTATTTTTTCCAACAATTTTAGGGAAGGGTTTACTGTCTACAACTCCAGAATAACTATTCTGTCCATAAACACATGAAACAAGTCTTTTTAGAACCCGATCAAGTAACAAACGTAGCCCTGAAAAAGATAATATACTTTTTCAGAAACCTGTAACTATTGGACTAAAATATAGTATAGGGTACACAAATCATCTTTCAGGTCTCATTATGGAAAAGTCTAGGAGACTAAATGATTTCTTTGAAATCCATAAATACACGGTATTTTTGAATAACTCAACGCTCAAAAAGAAAACATTTTTAAACTGCCGTTAAACCTATATACAATATCTTTCCACCATCTTATAATGCGCGACCTAAAAAATTGAATTTTTTGACTTTTTATTAGATGAAATATCTCTCCCAGACGGCTAAGACTGTCGGAAGTTTTAATATTAAAGATTATTTGTCAAATACCAAAGACTCAAAAGTGTAATAAACCCAACTTTAAGTGAGTATTTCCAAACAAAACCTATCAAATATTCAACAAGACCATCTCACCTTCTGCGCCGATTGATACCAATTTGACTCCCTTGCTAGCGATGAAATCCAAGGCCTTGTTGACGTTGGCGATTTTGTGGAATCTCATCTTGCCACGGTCGGGCTTCGGTAGTGTCTCTCCGGATATTACTTCCAACAGCAACATAAGTTTCAGGCCATTTCGGAAATCTTCTTCGATGTTGTCGATGCCTGTGCCGGCTTTTCTCAAATGGCTGTTGCACCATGCCGTGAATGTCTGTAAAATAAAAAGAGAGCATTAAAATAACATTCTGGAATTTATTAGCTGTATCTTAAATATACAATACAAATTACAATGATTTTGAGAAATCAAGTATGCCCCATTTACTCAATTTAAAAATTTTACAATGTTTAATAACTGTTTGTCAGAAATTGAAATATATCGGTAATATTTATTTAAATAATTTTATATTTGCATGATTACTACAATTTTTATAGTTTGTAATGCATTACCCAATAGGTATTTTCTGAACTTTGTTGCTGTATATGCAGAAGAAATATTCCACTGTAGCTATAAGACGCTTTCAATTGGATCTTTGTTACCACATCTAGAGAAGATTGGAAAAAGCAAAGACAATTTTTTTTGGTACTTAGGTAGATCTTAAGACTCTAGCTAGCACGCTTTATCTTAATTATGAATTTCGTCGTCGTTCTGCTTTGTTCACTCTTAATTTTTTTACTTTCGTATGTACCTAACTGGTAAGTTTGTATTCGCTCAATGCCCTAAGAAGTATTGTCTGTACATTTATGTATAGGTATGTCATATTACAATTGTTATTGTACATTTTAATTGATTATTACTACGTGGAGTAGTAAACGCAGTCCCATGCGTGTTTATTTATAAAATAAATAAAATACAATACAACAAATAAAATAAAAATAAATTAAATTAAAAACCATCGCTCCGTGCTTAGACAATAAGAACGCTAATCTTTCCTTCACGGTCACTCCCGGGGTGCCAAATCCGTTTTTTTTTTGTTTTGTGCAATTTTATGTCCAGATTTTCATAACTAAAGTTTTCGACATTCTGAGGAGTTTTGATTAACAAAGCGGTATAAAGTTATAGAAATACAAAAAAGACAAAATTAGAAAATGAGTTACGATTTTCAAGATCTACATACTGACAGTAAAATTTTTGAGGACGTGAAAAGAAAAATCGAGATAAGATTACAAAGTAGATGAATAAAAAGGAAGTAAATCTAGCTGTATAATAAAAAACAGATACAGTCTTGTTATTAGGGCGGCAGAAGCTGGAAGAATTAAAGATTAGCGTACATTATGTCGCACAGCTGGATCCTAAGTGGCTGAGCACGTTTGCAAGTTTTTAATAGAGAGTGGTATTGTACGTAATAGACAAGCGCATGATGAATGTTGGAGGATTCCGAACAAGTACTAGGAAACTGCTATGCTTGATGGTGTATGGTGTACTCCCTACTATTGTTATAGAATGCAGTCTTGGGCTGTCAAAAAGTACACCTCTGAAATAAGAGGAAAAGCCACTACTAAGGGTATATGTATAGTGGCTACCGTAATGTGTCAACGGATGCAGTAACAGTAGTGCCTGGGATGTAAACTGATAGATGTGATAACTGATTAGCGTATAAATATTTGAAGATCAAAGGGTAAAAGGGGAACAGAAAAGGTGAGTGAAATAGAAAAAAAAGTGATGGATGAGTGGAAAAGGAGACGGACGGAAAAGAAGGGGCAGACTAATTGGACTAATCATCTTATCACTAACCTGAAAACATGGATATATCGTGTAAATAGAAAGATAAACATTATCTAACTCAGGTATTGTCGTGACATGAAAGTTTTGGTTCCTATCTGAAACGGATTTCTAAGGAGAGTGCTGTTTGTGTGCGCAATTCCAGGGGGATACAAAGATACTTTGAAGCATGTTATGTTTGAATGCGAGATTAAGATGATAGAAAGATATGAATTTGAGATGGTATTAGGTAAAAGGATCACATAGGAGGACCTGGTTGAGCTGATGCTCCATTCTTCTTCTTCTTTCAGTGCCCTGTCCGATTATCGAACGTTGGCGATCATATTGGCAATAATAACCTTATTCACGGTGGTTCTAAATAAATTAGGGGTGGTTTCTTGATACCATTCTCGGAGATTTGATACCTCTTGATACCATTCTCGGATGTTCTTCGTCGGCCTGAGCCTCTCCTTCCGTCGATCTTACCCTGTATTAGGTGTAGAAGGTACTCCATTAGAAGATACTCCATTAGAAGAATTAAAACCTTGAGAATGCCATGATTCCGAGAGTGATTAAAGAGAAAGAGAGACTGATATACTTGGTGCAATACTATTACGCATGTTTTCCACCACCGTCTCCTCAGCATCTGAACGGCAAGGACCAAATGGAGTCTTATGAAAACTATATTATTTTCCACTCTTGGTATAAAAAAATAGCCAAATTTCTAGGTAAAACGGGATATAAACCTGTTTTAACTTTTGGTTGCAAATCATAGGTATTTTCAGAACACAAAAAGGTGTAAGTAAACCAGAAATAATAGAATACTATCTAATAGGGTGAAAAAATAACGAACACTGATATAACAGTTCGAAGAGCAAAGCTCTCCATTTTTATTAATGTATGTTTATGTCGTAAAGTTAATAATAAACGAGATAATTCAATAATTATACTTAGTCACTAGTTTTCCCCATAATCCAAAGAATATCTACCGTACGAAAAAAATTGTAGTAAATCGCAACTGCAACAATTTAAGTCGTTACCACTTTGTCGCAAAGTTTAAAATGGTCAATTGGACAAAAACAATTCCTACACAACCAATCACCGAAAGGTCCTAAGCTCGCGCCTTTACCGCATACGTATGACCTCAAATATTGATTTTAGCAAAAAAAAATGAAAGTGATCAAAATTGTATATAATATAGGTAGGTAATTCTCTTATTTTTTTATCTACATGCATGTTGTAAAGTTAATAATAAACGAGATAATTCAATAATCATGCTACCCCTTCCACTATTTTCCCTCTAACTGGGAAAATATCGACCACAGGAAAAAAATGTAGGAAATTGTAGGAAAAAAAGTTGAAAATGGTGGAGATACTGAGCAAAAACGGTTTTCCTTTAAATTAAAATTAGTTATATATATATATATATATATATATATATATATATATATATATATATATATATATATATATATATATAATAGTCAATTAATAGGTTAGTTGAGGTGCTTCAGAAATTCTCTGGTTTAAATAATTTATAAGTAAAAGTCCTGGAGACAATATATAACAAAGCGATTAGCAGTATCAAAATGGAAACAATCTGCCACAACCATTTGAATCATCTAAAGGTTTAAAACAAAGATGTTGCCTTTCGAATCGAAATTGAAATCAAAGAATATTGTCTGTACACCTTACTGTTTGCAGATGACCATATAGTAGTAACGAATACAGAAGATGACATAGCATTAATGACCAAGAAGCTAATCAAAGGGTATACCAAATGGGAGTTGAAGATAAAAATACAAAAAACGGAGCATCTAGTAGTTGGTGGACAGCCAAAAGGCATTACACTCGAACATGGGATTGTAAGGTGTATAAATATCTGGGAACTTATATAACCGAAGAGAGTAGCAACGATCTCGATATAAGTAATAGAATTATTCAATAATGGGTAGCAATATACACAGATAAACTTCCTATTATGGTCCATAAACAAAAGAAGTCAACAATGACATGACAACAGAACAGCATCCCGGCAACTAATTTGATATGGGCACGGAAAACGAATGACCGATGACCGACCTAAAAAGATATTAGCAGCAAGCAGACGAAAACACGAGAAAGGATCCGAACAACAGGCTGCAAATTTGAGGAATGGAAGAAAACCACTGACAAGACCGACGATTGTAGAAACTGAATTTCGGGAAGCAGCAATAACTGTATATATCATTATCATTAGCCGTATTGAGTCCACTGCTGAATATAGGTCTCCCGTAAATAATTCCATTGCATCAAATCTTAAGCATCTTGAATCAAGTTACAAGAGAAAATCTGCAGATCCAATCAACCCTAGAATTTATCAAGAAGACAAACGAGTTGGCGGACACTTATAAAAAATGGAAAATCTAGACAGGAGATGGAATACTTGGCATAATTTTAGAACAATGAGGTAAAAGAGTAAGAAGAGTTCCATAGAGACTTTGGACTAAAGGACGTCAACAAGTAAAAGATTATAAAGAAAGATATAGATAGCGTATTATACCCCCATAAAATTGAAAAACCAAGCAATAATTAATGTTATAGTACTATGCAACTAATATTTGCATTTAGAATGAAAAACAAGTCTTTATTAGTGTATTATAACACTTAGTTTACAGGTATTAGGCTACCGAAAATAATCCATTAATATCTAACCGGCCTACAACGACATTTCCATAAAAAAATTCCTTCGATGGATATTTTCAAAATATGCCTCACATGACTATTCTCTTAATTATGATTACGCAATTCAATCATGTATCATTTAAGTATTTTTTTAGAAATAAACGTACATTTATCTATTTTTACTGCATAGCAAATTAAAAGTTATCATTAACTATTTGTTTAGATAGTAAAATTCCTCTGGAAAACACATACACCAGAATAGTAACAATGACGAAACAGCTAGCCTGTATATTTACTCCAAAACATTAACTGTATATTAATAGAACAGAATTTTATCTCTGCGGGGCAAGTATTGTGCAAGACACGAAATGCCATACAGCTTACGTAAAAAATTGACAATGTTTTTCCAAGCAGTTTTAAAACTTAAAGTAAAAGTATATCGTTACTTTTCGCACATAATTGTTATGAAAAGTACATAAACTAATTCACAGCTTCACTTTTCAGCGTGTAGAAAATTCTTGTAAAAAAATTTGTTGCATTGAAGTAACTCCATTGATTCGTGTGTAATTTTAATATATTTCCCCACTCATTGAACCCCTGAACGCCCTTAAATTTTTTTTTTTAATTTCAAAATTTTACTTACTTACAAATAATTGAAACAATCGCGTTTTATAATCATGAGAATTAAAAATTGTATATATAAGAATTGTCCAAACATTTATTTATAGGTGTTAGTATACTCAGTGACATTAGAAGTGTTACACCCAGAAGAAATCATTTCTTTAACTTCATTTTTTGGCAACATGGTAAATTTACATCATGGATGAAACGATAACGTTGTCAAAAAT